TCTGCCTGCTTGGAAAGGCCCTTCAGTAGAATCAGATGAAAAATGAGCAGGCAAATAACAGAGAGAAACATGAGGAAACAATACCATATGGGTCATATTTCCCAAAGTAAATCTTAGTAAATTCTGACTAAGTCAGTCACACCACACAGATTCACATCAGATTGAGAACTCAACTCTTCTATATATATCCTTCATACAAAAGAGTTCAGAATAATCTGTTACTTCCTTGTTACTACTGCCCCATATGCAGTCTTTTCTTCTACAACAAGTAAAGGTCTTATCTAAGGGATATGAATGCAAGGTCATGAACCTCAGCATTCATTCACCAAGCTTGTACACACATACACTGTACGTGTAAAAGATAGCTTTTAATTATTTCTTTCTGTGAAAAATGAAAATTGTCAAGTGCATTTGCTATAAAGAAAAATATAATCTACCCTATAATTAGCTCTTAAATGGCAACTTGCAATAATCATGCCCTCAGCAAGATACTTTGCCATCAACACAAAACAACTCAAGACACTTGGGGGAAAAAAAAAAAAAAGTGTGTTGAGAAAGAGAAAGCAAGACAGATAATTAAAACCATTCAGGAATGTGGGAGATGTCATTCTGAAGCAGAAGTAACCTTAAGACAGAAACAGATTCAATCTAACTAGGGAAATCAAGCATGTCTGGCGTCTTTACAACAAATGACAGATAGCAGCAATAGCCAAGGTTTGGACTAGGTCATATATTTTATTAAAAACCCATATGGCATTATGATCCACTATGAAAAATGTGTATAGTAGTGGTTTATGGCCGCAGTTCATACACTAACAAGTTTTTCATTTACTTGAACATATTCCATCATGTTCAGGACAAGAAAGTGTTTCTATCTCTTATTAGTCATTATTTTGGCATTATGGTATGATTAAAAAAGCAGCTCAGTACAGCTCAAGTAATGTAATTTAATAAGATGTACTACTTGTTGTTTGTTTTAGGATAGATGTTTGTGACCACCTGTTAAACATCAGCATACGTCATCTTGGACATTTGTGACACATTGGCTGAATTCAAGTCCAAACTCAAAGCAGTATCAGATATGCTACTGTTTTGGAGCAATGTAGAAGCAAATATGCTGATTAAGTTAAAAAAAAAAAATTAAAAGGCAATTTTCTACTACTTTTATAGGTGCCAGTGGGATCTATGTAGGAATGCTGGACAAGAAAATCCACACTTCCACACCATGTGATGGGGAAGGCGTTTGCTGCATGGGTATTTATCAGTGTGCACCAGTCCTTCATGCAGAAAGTTCATGGTGCTCTGGGGATGAAACCAAGCAAAGTTTACAGATCAGCAACTTGTCAGCCCCAACCTCCATATGAAATTAAATGCAGATAAAACAAATAGAATGTTTTAAGGAAATGGAAATACCAAGTGCTGGAATTTCCTGGCTATATACAGCTGGATTTATTTCAAGCGCTGTGGACATGGAAAAAAACATGAGCTCATACTCCCCATATGGGAAATATGATGTTGGTAAGAGAGGAAAACAGAGTTACAATCCCTGCTCTTTGGAAACTGTGGGATCAACCAGGCCAAAGACAAGGGAACCTGTCTACCATCATGAGTAGCTGCCTAGTCACAGCCCAGAGAACAAAATGGGCAGAAGTATGTACCCAGTAAGGAGAATGGATGAGGCTTTCTGGGGTTAGTGAAAGGGAGAAAGAAAATTAAGCCATGTGGCAGCAAGCTGCGCTGTGACCCTTGCCCTGGCTTCGTGTAATTTTCTAATATAGAAGCAGATTATGTGACTTACTGATTCCAGTGTACAGTGAGGGGTCAGCTTGAATTACGAGGATGAAATGTTCAAACAGGAGAACATCAGATCTGCAGCATCTGTGAGTGCAGCAGGGAGTTATCAGAGAGGGGATACGAGCAGGGGCTGCTGGAAGTGGGAAGTCATAACATGCTGCATCCTCACATTCAGCACCCAAAATTAGCGGACACTTGTTCAATTAACCCCCATGTGTGGTTTCTCCATCTATAAAATAGTTTTCTTGCAGGATATGCCTACTACAGCATTGCAAATTCAATCTGTGGTTTTGTTTTGAAGCCATACCTTCCCCACTAACCACACTCCAGTTTGCATTCCCAAGACCTGCTGGGGCACAGGTTGAATTTTTCTGGGAGCAATTGAGATAAGTGTAGTTCTGCAGGCAACCCATCTAATGCCCTCCAACCACTCCTGGATGTTTCAAATGTGCTGCTGGGGTGCAGCAATCCCCTGCAATGTGAGCATCAGGCCCTCTGCACTCACTCTTCCGTGAAGGGATTCACTGCTCACTAACAGGCACAGATTTCTGTAAAATTGATGCTGCAAAGTGCTTAGCTGCAGCAGTGATGAGCAGGAGAGAACCACCTGGGAGGAAGCTAAGAGTCTTTTCTTTAAAGCAAGGTTTGTAGGGTGCAGAGTAAAAGCATCATATACCAGATGCAAGAAGGATAGTAAGTAGTAATACATAGTGGTCCTTAAATGGGCCACTTACACTTTCTGTGCACTGTCTGAGGTTGGTGTCGTGGAGAGAAATTGCATACATTCATGTAACTAAAGACTGCCTTGAGGTATACATTCATGAGGTCAAATTAAAGTTGCACAGACCACCTTAATTCTGGTATTTCCTAAGTCTCAAGTGTTTGACTTTACAACCTTAATAATGTTCTTTTAACATAGATTTCGTAAGTGTAATAAATTATATACCCTTCTCATTTTCAGTGCTCTTCTCACCAGTAATGCTGTTGGACTCTGGTCCTTTGTTATGAAAACAAATACTGGAAATTATTGCTGTTGTTATTGAAACCAGATGTACTACTCTCTGAGGCATTTATTTGTATAGTGTCAAGCTCTGGCACATTGAATTTCAGCGTATTTATTGAATAAAAAAAAAAAATAGAACTGATAGTGAAATGTCAGTGCTGGAAAAGCCCTAGTAGCTTTCTTTTCAGGAAAGTCTGCAGTGTTCTTTTTGTACATACACATTCACACCAGTGACTCTGAGCAAAATTGACAAAATCACGTTTTCATCAGTATAGAGTAATGGAAAGTTACACTGGGCCAAGATGAAAGAATTTGGGTCCGAACGTGTGAGGCATTAAATTTGTCCTGAAGTAGGTGGTCTCTGGTGCCTCATGGACAAAAAAAAATAAAATGTGATGCCTTCGGTAAAATGCAAAAAACAGCAAAGATGAATCACAGGCCTCATCTTCCTTTCTGAGATCTCAGCAAAAGCTACCCTGAGGGACAGCATTTCACTTACTGCCAAGACATGTTTTAGTTCATGCTTCAATTTTAGAGGTTGAACTTTCAGCCATCAAACATTAGGTGGGAAATACCACATTGTGTTTCTTCTACACCATCATTGCTCGTCCTGACCTCACTCCAAGGAATAAGGCTGTTGACTATATTAAAAAGGAATGGGAGGAGAAAATATGCAGGGGAGAAGCCCAGTGGGTGTCTAACAGGATATAGGATTGTAGGGAGACAGAAGACTTCCCTAGTTCTTCCTTGGAAGGAGGATTCCAAAAACACTGGGTAGAGATCTCTGCAGAAGGCACAAAGTAAAGAATTGGAATAGTATAACTATTTTCATGAAAATTGTCAGCACTGCTAGGTAATACTGATTAAACATATTTATTCAAAAAATACTGGATGTAACCATTTATAAAGCCTTAAAGTAACATTACAGCTCTATGTCTAAGTATGCAAAAATTAGCAAATCCTAGTGCTAGATAGCTAGACATACTGCCAATAATTCAATCCTTCTATAAACGTATTTTAGTATGAATTTTAATTGCATGATCACCTTGCAATTTTCATACAGGATTCCAACCTCAGTTAAAACACATGCTGGGAAATGTGAACCTGACCCACGTTCATGACCGTGCTGGTAATGAGGTTTTGCCAAAGGGCTGAGTCTGTAGAATTACCAAGCACTCGTGTCAGTCAAGGATTGTCTGTATTCTGGATGTGCATCATGACAACTAAAGACTGTAAATCGGCCCGTGGGCTTCTCAGATTGGATAACTAGTCTTATCCTGTTTGAGCTTTAAATATTATGTCACTTAGGTGTCTTCTCACAAGCCTGGATACCAGTATGCTTTCATCTCAGAGAGCTGTCACGAAAATGAATTTATTAGCAGCTGTATCTCTCTTATGCACTGCAGTAAGAACAGCGCAGTAAAGCTAGCTGAACTATTAAGCACATATGGAAGGCATGTGGTTATGTATATGCAGAGTAATAGATTTCCATTCTCTGTGAAATGAGCAAAAAAATTAATGCTGCTGCTTACTGAGAGCTTTTGCAACTTTGACATGTCTCTTATATAGGCTTTCTGCAATGTAACCATCTGTGCAGTTCCCAGGGTCGTGCAAAACACATACAGGTGTCAAAAATCTTTCACTCTAAATAAGCAATATATATGGGGATGGCTGAACAAAGCATTGTAAGTATGGAAAAGTGTCCTTTCAGTTAATGTGTGTTAAGCATTGCTACAAATAAATTACTTCTAGCTTCATTATTCTTGAATACCCATTGATCATTTTTAAAGAATGCTGTTTCTGGACAGGGCACTGCTGACAAGTCTAAACAGACAATTATTGTCTTCTCATTTATCCACTGACCAGCCTCCCATGTTGTGGCATGGCAGAGTTCACAGTCAGCCTCACAAGGCTTGTATTTGAGAAGGATCAAGCCTTGTTTATTTGGTCTTCCATACCATCCAGGGGAGCAAAAGCAGCTAATCAATCGATTGATTTCCTTCCATTCTTCTGACATTCCTTGGATTTTCTGCAGTGAAGATCAGACACCTAACTCAGAAAACAATTTGGAACTTCAGTGAGACTTAGAGAGAAGCTAGCTCAAAACAGCATGGATTTTTATCAGCAAGCTAATCCCAGAGTACCTCTGACATCTCTAAATGATGGTAACATCAGAAACAGAGAAGAATGACCAGGTACTTACTGAAAAATGGAATCCTTGTGGCCATTTCAAAAACACTGTACCGTAACCAAAAATGTCCAGTGGGAAGTCTGAAAGAAGAAAGTAAATATTTTTTTAGTACCGCTATAAGGAAAATGTGCTCTGTTAGTTTATGAAGCTTTTGATTGTACTGTGATTAATCAGATTTATGCTGCATATATAGTATATGGCCCTAATTCAAAATGTAGGAGGAACTCTTGTAATAAAACACAGTGATTATTTTTTTTTTTTTAATATTGCAAAAGGATACTATTTTTACTGCAATGCACAACTGTGCCAGTGGAAAATAGTGGGAAGGAAAAAATATATTGTCTGGCACTGGTTGCCATAGCAGCAAGCTGAAGTTCAAGGAGAAGTGGAGAATCTGAATTCTGTGGCAAAGTAATGAATTTAGCATCTACAGGAACAGAAATGGATTTTCTGTCACAGCCTGTAAATCAACCACAGGAAACTAACATGCTGGAGATATTTAGGAATGCTTTATATCTGCTCCAGATGTATGAAAAGTGTATCAGAATTATCTCTCTGGGTTTTGTCTTCAAGGGCCTTCCCTTTTTTTGTTGTTCCGACCACTGCACTTAAAAACACACTTGTTTGTTACTGAGACAAAGGAACAAGCCTTGCCATTTTCTCAGCAGCCTCCCAAAGACAGAAGGCATCACTCTCCTCTGAGAACGCTGCTCTTGTGCACTGTCTTTTTGCAGTGCCAGAAGGTCAGCAATGAATTACTTGTGTCCAGTTGTCTGTGCCAGCTTTCGAGAAACATGGTATCCAGCTTAGCAATAGGAACAAGCAAGATGCTTTTCAACATATCCACGCACATGTGTGACCAATCCACCTTGAAAAACTTGTCTGCTTGGCAGGGGGAGCTGGTTTAGGTGACCCCTCCAGCCAAAGAAAGGGGAGATGGAATTCAGATGCTGAGCTGATATTGTATGAACAGTGCATGTAAGCAACCAGTTATCTTGATAGAGATTTGGGGGAATGGTGCCCATGTTTCAGTTAAATCTCTAGTCAGTCCTCATGTTTCCTCAGCATCTTTTTAATGGCTACTTGATGTCCAGAATGGCTTTCTCCTTGGCCACAATAATTATGCCCCAGCTATTCAAACAGTATCTGTGAGAAATGTATAGAAAAGAAATACATCTCACAACAGTGGGACCCAGATAGCATTCTTCATGTTCTACATGACATTAAAAACATGAAAAATAAATAGCTTTCCTTTCTACCCCTGTTCCTGGAGCAGATGGAACACACTCTGGGGAAAGGGCGGGAAAAATCCTCTTAAATAAAAAAAAAGAATTATTACAATACACTACAGTTAATCTATCTATAATGGGTTCTATTCCTAATAAATCACACTCATTCAGCTCAGATACAATTCTTAAAAAGTCAGTGAAGATAAAGCAAAGTGAACTCAATGTGAGCAGAAACTATAAAATATAGTGGGAAAGAAATAAAGAAATAAAGGAATATATTAAACAAAACAAACAAAACAAATGATCAGAGTTTTTACTTGTATGTCTTTTGCATAAGAGATGGAATGCACCCTAACCCTGTTACTGCAGAGGGTTCGTATGGGATATCTCTTATTTCTACATACACTTTTTGCCTATTAGAAACGGAATGCAGACAGAACATCAAGTAAAAGTTAAGGAGTTAAAATATTTCATAGAATTTCATTTTATATAATTTGCTGATTGTGACTAATTCCTGTTCAAATTCTCTTTTCCTTCCAGAGTAAAGGAACAATGGGAAGCATAAATTTTCCTGGGTGTGCATTTGTAACCTCCTCCAAACAAAATTATTTGAAATCTGCAAATTAAAACACATAGTATCACAGCCATATATAAAGACACAGCGAACTCTCTAAGATAAGCCCATCTGAGACTATCTGAAAGAAAATAAATAATATTTCCATTCTAACCGCTTCATGTTCTGTTCTGTTACTCCAGTTTCCTATTCCACAATCATCATGGTCCTCAGCATCAGATGAGCTTAAGAGTGATTCCCAATTTATAATTTTCTAAAAAAGGTGAAATTCTTAAGCTTGTAAAACTAGTCCTGAGATTAAAAATAGTTGGCTTCAAGATTTGGGTAATCTGTGGCCATTTGGAAAAAAAAAAAAATAGAAAAGACAAAGAAATACAAATTTCAAAAGTACTGTAGTTCCACTTAGGACAGCTGTAGAATTAAGGATATGTTTAATTCACATTTCTTATTCTTTCTTACCCTTCTAACATAGCTTCAGCCCCCTTTGAGCTGTTATAAATAAATAGATAGCTAGTAGCTTCAGTTTCATCTTTGCCATCTTTCATTTGAAATGTGAGTCTTCCTGGGATGAGAGCAGGACAGCATCGCTCAGCATGTGTTTTCTTCTCAGGAGTCCTTATAGAGAAAGCCACTTTGCTACTGAAGGTGAACCACTGCAATGACAGCTTGGAGTTTGTGGGATTTCTTTACAAAGATATTCGTTCACATTTAAAGAAAGGAGTCTTCTGATTCAGGAGAGTGCTTTAACACAATAATGGCCTACCATGTTTCTGCTGATTTGGTTTGAAACTGTAAGTAAGCATGAAAATAGCAGGAAATCATTATTTCAATTACTACTCCTGTCGTGAATGTAGGGTTCTCTCTGTCTGACAAACAGTACATGATCTTCTTTTACATGATCTGCTCTTAGAGTGGAAAATAATAAATAAAAAGCTTTTATTTTCTTCCCAGTCTTGTCACTAAAGCTCCATTTAAATGCATTCAGGTCAAATGCCTTACTTCTGACTCCACAGCACTTCTCATTTCTCTCTCACTTCCCAGGCAGGTAGGTACAAAGGCTGCTGAGAAGGGCAGAATAACAAGGTAAAACAGGCACATGCTTTATTTTCCTAAAGAAAGAGGATGAGCATTAAAGAAGAAAGAATCCTACTCTGTACACTGGCCAAGCACTGTTTGCTTTCCTAGAGCAAAGTGTGTAAGCTCAGTCTATAAAACATGCAGCCGCAAAGACACAGGGCAATTTCAGTCCCATTCCCTTTCTTGCAGTCATCAAAGTTGGGACCACATATGCATGGCCCAAGTGCTGGATCACGACCAGGCAGGCCAAATTCATGTCTGGGCTGGTTCTGGTTTCTCTGGAGCTAAACAAAGAGAAAAGTCTCCTTATGGTGTCAGGATCTACTCTACTGATCAATTAGACAACTTAATTATCCTAACCTTTTGGCAAACAGAATACTAGCTACTCAGAAAAACAGTTAACTCCAACTGTAATGCTGAGATCTGACCAGGATATGTGTCAGTAAACTGTCAGTAAACTGTCCACTACTGCTAAAAACTGAAAATATTTATCCAGGCTGATAGATGTGTCAGGTAGGTGGTGGGTGCTCTTACATTTCAATCAATTTCTTCTCAACAAATATTTGTTTCACAAAAACTCATAAATATCCAGCAGATGCCTCCCATGATTATATCAGACCTTTCAGAGTTATAAACTCAGGCACTTTAAACTGGTCTCAATGTTGTAAGGTTTTAATTATCTATAAAATCTGTCATTTCAACTTTCTTGCCCTCTGTTCACATAGGTGGACCCTGAATCTCTGAAGTAAGCCAACTTCCATGAGGGAAGAAAACAGTCAGTCATTTTTCTGCAAGATTCAGATTGCAGTGTGACTGCACAAATTGGCATGACTTGACTGCTGGAACAATTGAAAGTGTGGGAACATGTGTGGTATTGTCACCAAACACACTGTCATGTCAAATCACAGCCTCAAGCAAAAGGACTGAAGGATGTGATTTGGACCTAGATCTCTCATCATGACTGAGATTTCCAAGATGCACAGAGAAAGCTACATGCCTTCTCCCAGAAGATTTGTGAATCAACTTTCAGGATATTTTTTCAGTGTCTTAATAATAAAAATGAAAGAAAATTTTCTGTTGGTTTGGGTTCTTTTCTTGCTGTTGTTGTCTGTGGGAGGAGGGTGGTTTTTTTGGAAATCATCTGTATACTGGTCAGTCTTCACTGAGAATTTTTTCACATTTTTTCATAGAATCATAGAATCACAGAACAGTTTGGTTTGGATGGGACCTTAAAGCCCACCCAGCCCCAAATCCTGCTGTGGGCAGGGCTGCCACCCCCCAGCTCAGCTGCCCAGGGTCCCATCCGACCTGGCCTTGAGCATCTTCATGGATGGGTTCCCACAGCTTCTCTGGGCAGACTGTGCCAACACCTCCTAATGTCTAATCTAAACCTCCTCTTTTTATTTTCAAGCCCTTGTCCTACCACTGCATTCCCTGATAGAGTCCCTCTCCATTTTGGGAGTTGCTGTAGTTGCTACAGGAAAAGCCTTACTTACTATGCTATGCTTAATACATCTGGAAAAATCTGACTAGTTCTGCAACAGTTTCCACAGCTCATTAATTCTTCTATACAAACTTGTTTATGAGCACAAATGATTCCCCCCCCCAATCAATTATCTTCAGAAATTATCACAGGAGAGAACTGGCACTGGAAAGAGTCATTACATTAATGCTTGGATTCTTTTTATAGTTTTCAGGAAAAAAACTTTTGTGTTTGTGGTGTCCTTATTCACCTGAGAAATATTAATTAGTGCTACTAATTCTAGTGAAGTATTTACTGTCTCAGTAGTTAGATAGCATACCAAAGTATGTTATCTAGCCAATACCCCTCAGTAGTCATAACACACAGCTGCAAAGCTCCAGGAGGGCTTTGACAGGTATACTGAAAGTTTGTGTTAGTGGCAGGAGAGAAAGTGAGGACACCTGGCCCATCCAGCATTCACCTTGAACTGACTTTTTATGTGCAGTGAGTAGGGAGGAGAGTGGACTTGTTTACGGTTCTGTTTAATCTTCAATCACCTCAAGGGGATTTTTGTGATCTGCTGATTTTTTAACTGTTAGCAGTGGCAGGGAAGCCAGAGTTTATAGTCTTCTGGTTTCCTGCTGGATTCTGCATGCCAAAACAAAAGTCTGCTCTCCTTCCATCTGCTCCTTACTCCTTCTCTGGGCTAACCCCTTCCCTCTGAAAGGAATTCTCTCT